GAGAAGAGGAGGAATAGCGACCTGTTCTTTTTTGTCTTTCTACGATCCGCCTCCGTCCCTTCTTTCTTCCCTTTGGTTTCGGAAGGCGATTGTAGGAGGAGGAGAGTAGAGGAAGAAAAAGAACAAACAGAAGAAAAGAGGGAGACAGGGTAGACAGAGATGGAGGAGCCCTGGAAGAGGTTTTCAATTACGCAGCAAGACCATGATGTCTTCATCGTCTAACGTTTTCCTAAAGAGCAAGGCGATCCAAGGTAAGAACCTATACATCTCTGAGAATCACCACCATCACCGTGACACAAAGACACCACCAGCAAGAGAGAAAAGAAGATATTTAAGAGTTCTCGCGTTATTTCTTATGTTTGTTCATGGTTTTCTTCTTGCTGGATCTCTTGTTTTGATCGCTTCATGACTACCTGTGTGCAGCTGGCGTAACGTTAATTGGACTGCCATGATGATGAAGAAAGAGAGGGCAGCATGGGAATAGCGACACAACCGTCTCAGCTTCCCTTCTCCTACCTCAGCCCAACCAAGGTCCTTACGAGGCCGCAGCCCGGGCCTAATTCGCCGACGACGTCTATGTCCCAAGGCTTCCACCAAGGCATCTTCAGCTTCTCCGAGGGCTTCGATCGCTCTGCAAACCAGGAGCAGCAGCATCACCACATCGCGCAGCAAAGCAGGAGGGACAAGCTAAGGGTGCAAGGGTTCGATGCCGCCGGACCCCCGCTAGTCCCGATCGAGGAGCAAGGAGGGGAGCCAAGCATCTACGAATCCGCCGCTGTCGGTGCCGGCAACATGTTGTCAGACATGTTCAGTTTCCCGGCGCACGGACCAACGCCAATCGACCTGCATGCCAACCAGATCTCGGGTAGTTATCATCTCCCGCCGAGGCAAACGGCCGTGACCGGCTTTTCCGGGGACTGGTACGGGCCGAACCGACAAGGGAACCAGCAGCAGCATCAGGTGACGGGTTTGAACACCGATCCAGCTGCTGCGATGCAGCTATTTCTCATGAATCCTCCACCGCAGCCGCCATCACAGCAGCAGCATCCAAGGTCTCCATCTCCACCTCCACCAGTTGCTGCCCCAACTCTCCACCAGCAACACCATCCTCATCAAGCCTTTCAATCCTTTGGCGAGACTCCCTTTGGTGGGAGACTGGTAGAAGGCCAAGGGCTGTCGTTATCGCTCTCTTCATCTCTGCAGCACTTGGAGATGGCCAAAGCTGATGATCTAAGAGTTAGAGAAGGTGGGTTGTACTTCAGCAACCAGCAGCAGCACCCTACGTTACATTTGCAAGGCCATGTTCATGGCCATGGTCAGCAGTTCCACATGGGCTATACCGGCACGGGTATGGTGAGTGTATTGAGGAACTCCAAGTATGCAAAGGCGGCGCAGGAGCTACTGGAGGAGTTCTGCAGCGTGATGAGCGGGAAATCGAAAGGGAGTAGGGTAGGGAGGCACCGCGTTGGGTCATCCAACATTAACCGTAACCCTAGTAGCGGCGGCGGCGGTGGAGGTGCGTCTAGTACGGCCGCTGCATCTACCTCCTCTTCCAAGGATGTCCCTCCCTTGTCTCCCGCTGACAGATTTGAGCACCAGAGAAAGAAAACCAAGCTCATCTCCATGCTTGACGAGGCATGTACTAATCACTCCTTTCTGACCTGCTCTATCTCTTGTGACTATTATTGTAGATAGCTTCACGTAGACCTACCTCCTCCTCGCTCAATTCACATAGTGAGAAATTTGCCTTCAGCGGCAAATATATTACTTATCAGTCATTTGGTTGCCGAAGAAAGTGGTTGAGTTGATTCTCAGGTCATTTTTAACAAGATTTTTTGATAGTGGTCGTTGCGCTTTTCTTTATCTATTCCCATAGGTCGAATAGATTACAACCATAGAGGTAGCTTCCATTAAGTAACCATGGCTCTTGTTTGGTGAAACAATGGCCTTCACGTCTCCATTGCTCCACTCCTCTTCTTAATTTCCTTCTGTAGGGATGCAAACTCCCAAGAGATCTCATTGTCTCTTCATGGAAACGCTGCTTAAGAAGACATACAACACCAAGGATAGAGATGCGTGTACATATCTTCCTGCTGAGGCGGAGAAAGGGATTTAGATGATCTCAGGAACCCCAGGCCGAAACACGCTAGTGTGACTGGCCCAGACCCTTGCTTTCCATAAAGTATTGCTCATAGGCACATTGTAATATTTGTCTTTCTTATATACTCTTCAATCCGCATCATCGTAGCAGCATGATTCGATAGGAGAATTAATCATTGTACTTGGTTTGGATTTCTACAGCTCATTTAGCTTAACCTTTGGCAACTGTAATTATTTTTCTTGTCCTCTATCGTTTCCCTAGTCCTTTTATGTAATAGTACAACAGTAACTACAAGGCAATCATGGCGCTCTCTATCTTTGATCTTCGCAGGTCGACAGAAGATACAGCCACTACTGCGATCAAATGCAGATGGTGGTGAATTCCTTCGACTCGGTGATGGGGTTTGGAGCTGCAACGCCCTACACAGCTCTAGCGCAGAAGGCTATGTCGCGGCACTTCCGGTGCCTCAAGGACGCAATCGTCGCACAACTGAAGCAGACATGCGAACTCCTAGGCGACAGAGAAGGTGCGAGCAGCTCCGGGATCACCAAGGGAGACACCCCCAGGCTCCGGCTGCTCGACCAGAGCTTGCGGCAGCAGCAGTCCTTCAGTCAGATGGGAATGATGGAGCAGGAAGCCTGGAGGCCTCAGCGCGGATTGCCGGAGCGCTCCGTCAGCATCCTGAGGGGTTGGCTCTTCGAGCACTTCCTTCACCCGTAAGACCATCTTCCCTTCCTACCATCCTATGCATAGATAGACTCTTCATCTATCCATACATCTTTTTTCTCCTCTTCCTCCGCCACCACCTGCAACATGAATAAGAGTTACTTGCCAAAAGCTTCGAAGATGTTGTCCTTGCAATTCGTGCAGCGGGTTTCTGCATGCTTTCTGTGCACCCTAAAGTTGGCATTCAGTTGCTCTGTGTGAGAGGAGCTGACATCATAGAGCATTTTCTTCTTTTATTTTTGTCTCTCCATTTCCCTTAGTGTACCTTTAGTATCATCAATTATACCAATCTATCAACGATTCAGCACTGCCATGTCCTTATGTGCAGTCCTCGCACCACAAAAGCTTCTCCATTCAGCATTCACTAATTCATTATTTTAAGCATCTGTAGCAATATTTAATATATATATATATAGCTAGCTAGTTGGTGATGGACTGTGGATCTTTGAGACGTACTGATGTCATTTTCAACTCAGGTATCCCAGTGATGCAGATAAGCATTTGTTGGCGAGGCAGACAGGTTTATCCAGAAATCAGGTCTGTCCTTTCATCCCTCAATCATACGAAACGCATCGGGTTTTGGAATCCAAATATTTCAACCAGGAAAATGATGACTTTACCATGGAGATCGAGCAGAAACATTAATACAACGAGATACATGGACTACTTGCAGTGTCACCTCCCCACTTTTAACGGGATTAAAGCTGGAACGTTTGTTTGAACTTTGATTCAGTCGACCAGGGTTCATCTTCCTTATGTTTTCTGGGGTTGCTGCATCTTTGCACTTTCCTGGAAGACCAATATAGATCTATCTCAGCTGCTAACCAAAGATGTAGGTAGACCTGATGGTTTTACATGTGTACCAGGTTTCCAACTGGTTCATCAATGCAAGGGTGAGGCTATGGAAGCCAATGGTGGAGGAGATGTACCTGCAGGAGTCCAAGGAGGAGGAGGGAACAGAGAAAGAAGCAAACCAACAAAGAGCGCCATCACCAATGCAACAGCAGCAGCAAAGCCAGAGACTGGGAACCAATGCGGCGTCCGAGAGTGACGCGTCTCCCAGCACATCCTCCATCAGCCACCGCAATCATCGGTTCGCCTCCTCCTCCGACAACCCACCGCCGGGTCTGGGTGCGGCCCACCAGCCAAGCAGCGGAGTCGATGACGGTGTCCTTGTCGGTGTAGGACAAATCGGCGACGTGTACCGCTACTACGGGGCTGCCGCCACCTCTGAACTGGGCCCGGCTGCGCGAATGCGACTGGGGGCCGCCGGAGACGTGTCGCTCACGCTCGGGCTACGGCATGCCGGCGGCGGTACGTCCGAGAAGAGCCGGTTCTCAGTTAGGGACTTGGGCGGCTGTTAACACGATCCAAAGCAAGTATAAGATTAGATAAGAAGATCCTACCTAGTTTTCAGCTTCTTGGACTGGACAATTAGTGCAACAAATATATAGCAAGAACATAGAAATCTATGGTATAGAATTGTATTGCAGGTTTTCCTCTCTTCCTTTCTCTTTGTATACCTATGAACACATATCGGTGTTGGGGGATGATTACAGGAATACTGATTGGTGACACTAGTGTGTTTCTTTGGTGTTTTGTCCACGTTCTTTTCACTGCTTCATCTCTACGGTCGACTCACCACCGAGGTCGTCGGAGATAGCCGGCCAACGATTAGAGGAACAGCAGCCATGAATGCTAGAAACAGTGGTTGATTGATAAGGGAAATTAAATGACACACCAGATGATGATGGAGCTGCTTTTTCTCGTCATCTCAGTGGGCCGTCCGTCCATAGCTAAGCAATTGGACAAAAGAATTAATGAAGGGTGACTCTACGTTTCACGTGAAAGATAAAACGTGTATGATCTATCTCTATAGCACTTCCATCACATGTGTGCAACAGATAATTCCTTGCAATCGAATAAAATAGTTCTGTAAATCAGCAAATTATTGACCAATCATTTCGTGATTAGTTATGTTTGTAATTATTGCAGTAATTACGACAGAATTACAAATTATTGCAGTAATTATTCTCCCTTTTATGTGCTATTAAGATGTTTTTCTCCTCCTCCATGCTGTGTTTCTGCTACCTAATCCATGAGGAACAGAGCATCGAGTGCTGTTGAAACTTTTGAGGCCCAGGGAGAGTTATATATCTCTAACAAGGGAAAGGGAACAAAAATATATCTCTAAATAGAGTTGAAGTGCATTTTGTGCAAAACATTCTGAGTGGAAAAGGTAACGATATATAATTTAGTATATTTATATACATTCTGATCACGAGGAGCTCTTTACAGTCCTGCAGTCAAAACTTCATGTGTTCTTGAACAGTGAGGAAGAAGTACACGGTGAGTCCAATGCTCGCTGCCACAAGAATCACCATCCCTGCAAAGAATCTCTGGTCGAATTAATTCTAGTTTTCTTGTTGCAAATGATGAGACTGATCCTGATTTGGCCGAAGCCATCTATAAGAATTTGTTTTCACCTAAAAGAAATCATCATGAGGATTCACTAAATTTCTGAAAACTTGAGCATGCTCTTTGACTGTAAGTAGTCGAAAGTCATAGCAGATTCTTGACGAGGGATGAAGAACAAGAAAGCGAGCTTACCGGATTCAGCAGATCTTGCTGCTAGTTCTCCTCTTCCTTTCTTGGCCTCCTTCGAAGCATGAGAAGCTTTGAGATGCAGAAACATGGACATCACCACCAACCCACTCCCAAGCTTCTCCCTCACAACCCTCTCACGCATGTTCAAGGACCAAAGCCCAGCCACCCCTTCGACATAGCCCTCCACTATGACCTTCACGAGCAAGAGAATCCCAGCACAGAGGATCGACATGGCCGATCGACTCAGGGTGTTGGAGGTGAAGCCACAGTGGAGAAGATTGATGCCGAAGGCAAAGGCATAGAGTGGGAACCAAAAGTACCAATCTGGAAGAAAAAGATCATAAAAATACTAGGAAAAATAAAAGCTCAGGAAAGATGGGGAAATTTGCTTGCCTGGATCATCCAGCTGAACTGATGCAGAGTAAGCAAACAGTAGGCTCATCAACACAGAGCACGCGGAGAAAACGGGAGAATGAACGTTAAGCATCGCCATGTTCTTCAGTTCCTTTGCCTTCTTGCCCTGCACACCTCTCTCGAGCTCAACGACGTGATGAACATGGCAGACGAATAAAGTCAACGTTGTTATTTACTTGGCTGCACAGCTAATGTAGCGTTTGATGTGGACTGGCACATCGTTTCTCTCACCCAGCTGTTGACTTTCTAGGCTGTGAGATCGAATGACTCATGACTTGGTAGTGTTTGTCGAAATGTCGATGACCTCGCAGTGATTATACATGAAAAATATAACCTTAATTTGATTCCCTTGCATTGATTTCACAGCTTAAAGGGTAAAAGTTGACATGGGAAAATTTATTTAGCAACAGCCTCAGTTTGCTTGGAAGAGAGGCCCAAATGAGGCCATCGAGAAACCAGAAACAGAATCCAGGTTCGGCCCAAAGCCGCTCACCAAGGGATTTGAGCTGAGCTATCGTCTTCTCCGAGTCACTCACCGCAAAGCAGATCATTCACGTTGCTCTGACAACAAATTGAAAGAAGCAGAAATAATAATTCAAAGTACAACAGAAATTGCATGCAATCCATTTTTTAGGTCCCGATCAGCCATGGATTCCCAATCTTACCCTCGAAATGTTTACAAATCATCTATCTCACCAAATCTTAGCATAGCCATCAGCTACATGTGCACCAACACCCGTTATCTTCCTCCTCAACTCACAAGTCGATCGACACGCACGCTTCATTCAGCCCCGATTCGACGGCAGAACTAACGAATAGCGTCTGCTTTGCGGCAGACCTCGCTGGTGGTGTTCGTAAGCGCCGCCGCACCAAGGATCTCAAGCGGCAACATGTACTCGCGGCATGGGCCCCTCGTTGTCTTGGCCCACCACGCTTCTATAAGCTTACTCCGCCCTGCCGCCGTACGCCCCCGTCTGCGGCGCCCTCAGCAACGCCTCCGGTGACTGCTCCGACACCCGCCACACCTTCACCGATTTGTCTAGGCTGCCGCTGTACACGATCCAACTCGCGGCGGCGCCGCCGCGGCCCCCCTCCTCGCCGCCGGTGTCCGTGACTATCGCGAGGCACTTGACTGGTCCCGAGTGGCCGCTGAGCACCGAGAGGCAGTTGTGCACCGTGCCCTCGCGCCGCCACACGCAGATATTCTTGTCAGCGGAGCCGCTCAGCAGGAGGCTTCCGGCCGCGGCGAGGCAGAGCACTGCCATTTTGTGGCCTCGGAGCACTCCGCCGTGGGAGAGTTGCCCTTCTCCCTCCCAGAAATTGATGATCCCGTCGGAGGAGCCGCAGTAGAGGATAGGCGCTGTCGGGCTGACCGCGAGCGAGGTCACAGCGGACTCCTGCTTGAGCAGCGTCTGCACCGGCGAGTGCTTGGTGCTCTTCACCTGCAGCTCCCGTCGCCACACCTTGACGGTGCCGTCGGCGGAGCCGGTAAAGACGAGCCCGCCGAAGGCGGTCACAACCGAGTTGACAGCGTCGTCATGGGCGATGACAGACTCCAGGCACCTCGAGTCAGATATTCGCCACACCTTAAAGGTCTTGTCCCAGGAGCTCGAGTAGAGGAGCCCCTGGTCCTCGTCGAGGCAAAGGCACGATATGGCGTCGGAGTGGCGAATCCAGAGGGCGCTGCGATGGCGACGGACCTCGACGTAGTTGGACGGCTTCAGCGAGCTCCGGATGACGTCCTTGAGCCTGGGGAGGCTCCCAATACGCTTGTGTACGGCGGCGCTCTTGGGGGACACCCTCCATACCCGGATCTTGCCGTCCTGGTGGCCGGTGAAGATGCGATCCGCCGCGATGACGATGGCCTTGACGAGCCCGCTGCTGGACTTGAACCCGGCGAAGTCCTTCTGGTTCTTCCACACCCGGATATTCTTGCTGTCAGATCCGGTGTACAGGAGGTCGCCAATGGCAGCGAGCGAGTAGATGTGACCCTCCTCGCGCACCAGGGAGCTGATGAGGCCAGTGAAGGGGAGCCCAGCGGCGGCATCCGCGAAGGCGGGGTCGTTGGCCGGGTGGGGGGAGGACTGGTGCCAAGGGGACATGATGAAAGGGGAGCTCTCGCCGCTCATGGCCATGGGGTAGTCGGAGTAGAACCCAGAGCTGGCCGTGGTGGAGGAGCTGCTGTGTCGCATGAAGGAGTCCTCATCCGCGGAGGACTGGTGCATGAGCTGGTCAGAGTGCGGCATGGGCCTGTCGGCGTACATGGCGGCGCTGTGCCCACTCCCACCGCTGCTGCCGCCTCCCTCCCTCATCGACCCCTTTCTGATATATATGCTCTTCGATATAGAACGCGGAAGGAAAGACAACGACGACCAACAAAAGGAAAAGATATGACAGGAAGAGGAGATGGGGCAAGCGGGGTTTGAAAGGAGTAAAGGTTGGCGAACGAGGGGACGTGATGTATATATAAATAGGAGATGCGGGGATGGAGACGAGCGAAGAAGGGCCGAGACGACTGCGGTAGTATAGATTGACACGTGTGGGGACGAGAGAACGTCCCGGAGGTGGATTGCGCACGGCCGCAGACAACCTCTTCCTTATTCCCGTCCGTCCGTTTCGTGAATGCCAACTTGGTCAACTCCATTTTGTTAATACTTGGTATTTTAATTTGAGACGAACAGATGGCTGAGATTAATAATTATGATGGGATGGACGGCTTCGATGGACCCTTCTTTCCTATCAGCCGTCTACCCAGCTAAGAATACGATACATATCATAATAGTCAATTATTTGATTTTTTAAACTTAAATTTATAGGATAACCGCAAAACAAAACAAAAAAAAATACTAATTTAAGATGGATATATGCGTAATAATTTTATGTCATGTGAAACATCGGTTGCAATATATTGATCTTACTCGAACATTTTCTATATCTGTATTGTTCCGTAGACTAATCATCTTCGTTCGTTTCGTGAATCAAAAACAATATAGATGTAATCGATTCAAAGACAAAGCGTTGTTCTTGACCTCCCAAAAAAGAAAGAAACAAAGAAGAAGGCAATCGTTTCATGACCTTCGGTGTACTCGATGGGTCACGAAGTCCAGCTTCTTCTTCATTTTGTTAGATACCACCATTGAACGGGTAAGCATTTATTTCGATTCTTTAATCAAAAATAATTTTTTTGAATAACAAAATTTTAAAAGTAATCAAAATTCAGTGATATTATATAAACTTAGAATAATTTTTTCAATCTTTTTTAAATTAAAAAAAACCTTAGGTCTTTCTCTATAACTCTCCCTTGATGATATGTTTATGCAATAAATTTTAATTAAATAAAGACTCTATCAACCTACTTAATATTAATTTTAATTAATCAATGAGTTAGAATTTAATTAAAATTCTATCAAGTAATTTCAATTTACTTAGGACTCCTAAATACTTGGAAGTGAGTCTCAAGATTAATTGCCCATTAGATTTACGAAATAATCCATTATGATATCGATTATAGATCGATCTTGGCGGAGTATCTGACGATAGAATCCCTATGACAAAGGATAAAAGAGTATCGAGAAATGAAACCGAGTCGGATGTGATGATCTTTAAAATCAATAAATTTCACGATATGAAATATAGAGAGAAGACGGATCTCTAATTACAAGCAATCGAGGAGCCTTGTAAATCGTAACTATAACTCGGGATCCCTAAATCGATCTTAATACGAAAAGTTTCCATCGACATCAGGTCTCGATGGGTAGCAAATATTAACCCTAACAAACAATTGTGTAAAGAAATTGTTTTTCACGGATATAATCAAAGTGTTTTTCTTTTAATTATATTATCTTATAAGCATATAGAGAAGCAGATTTATTATACATAGTGCAGGAGGTGGATCCATAGCTGTACACACACACACACACACAAAAGAACTTAGAAGACTCCTTAGAACAACAAGCAGTTCGCTGGGGGGGATCTGAACCTAAGGGCTGACACAATCCACAAGCATGGACAAAGCTACTTCGGTGCAAGGCAGACGTACAGACCGAGGCTTGGCCCGTATTGCCTGGCTCAGAGGACGGCCATCGGGTTCGCTGGCTCGCTCCGCCTCCGCCCTCGGGGTCGAACTCCCGGAGAGAGCAGCACGACCCTTGTCCCGCAGCTTCGCGAGCTCGGCCGTCCACGTATCCACTAGGTTGGACATCGTAGCAGAGACGAAAGCAAGAACAATGGCAAGCAACAGCTCTAGAAGACACTGCAAAGCGTACCAGCTACGATTAGGATGGTGAGGCCCGGCGAAGGCTTAAAAAGAGGGGCAGCCGAGCTTATCCACTCTGAAACCAGTGAGCCTATAAGAGTGGTTTTTGTGGGTGTCGGCAGGTTCTTAGGTGCCGGAGATATTTTGCATCACGTTCATCCTAGATAAGTCTCTTCATTAAAATAAGGCAAATTTCATATACAAATATAGATATTTAGCTTACAGACCCTTTAATAAGACAAACAACTGAGTTCTTATCCAAACACTAATAGAGAATAATTAATACACATGACGAGGCATGCCCACATGTCGAATTCTAACAGCACAAATGATATTTTCATTATCAAAAGCAATCGACTACCCGACACGTGGAGCCCTAAATATCCACGTGGCTAAGCTTGCCGCGTTGGTTCAAAGCGGGCAATCCACGTCTCCGCGACTTGCATAGTGCCCAGTCGCTGCGATCTGGTGCGTTGATACGCAGCAGTTTTCTTCTCTTACTCGATCAGATCCAACGACTTCTACGGCCAATATTTATCGTTCGCAAAGTAGGGAAGCGGCGATTGAGCGCCTCTCTGTGATCCTTCACTTCGAGCGCCGAACGAAGGCGGATCGGAAGCGACTCGATCGGAGAGATCTAAACCCTAGCGAATGGAGGAGGAGGAGGAGGAGGAGGGCCGCAAGAGTCCTCCCAAGAACCGGGAAGAGAAGCCGCAAGGAGGCGGCGGAGGCGGATGGGGCAGCTGGGGTATCTCCTCTTTCTCCATGTTCTCGGAACTCCAAAAGGCCGCGGAAGACATCTCCAGAAATGTACGTGATCTTCTGCTGTTTCTTATTCGATTATTATGTCTACTTTTGCATCTTAAATTGGGTCGGCAAATGTGTGAAGAATTTGGTAAATGAATCGTTTTCTTGTTTGGGATTCAGGCAGTTGAAGTCGTTAAGAATGCAACCAAAGGCATCACCGACCTGGAGATTGCGGGTTCAGATTCCGAAACAACCGATGAGGTCTCGAAGGATTCCAGAGGGGGAGAAGAAGAAGAAGAGGAGGAGGAGGAGCATGTGCACGATAGACTTCGCAAGTCCGCGCTTGATAAACTGGAGAAAGCTAGTGAGGATTCTCTGTTCGGTCAGGTGAATCAATCATTCGAGAGATGGAGATCCGCTGCAATGAATTTATATGATTTCATATTGGGATACATATTATGCATCTTTTGTCCTGTCATTTGGTGGTGATTCTTTGACATGCTTGTTTGTAGGGTCTCAAGGTACTTGACAATTCAGTGGAAACTATTGCTTCAGGAGCATGGAGTGCGTTGGGTAGTGCTTGGAAAGGGGGTTCAAGCCTTGTCAGCAAGTACGCAATTTCATTTCTCTGTCCATTATGTAGTACATCATTGAACATGTTATACTTTAAACTGAGAAATACTCTCTCTAAATAGCTGAGATGAATGCATAGACATTTGCAGTTCCGTAGCTCTTGTGTTCCTCGTTTATATCATACATCAACCACTGAAAATTCAATCGACACTTTCAGACAAGTCTGAATATTATGTACATCTTAAGCTAGTGGACTAACTCGATTGGTGCATGGTTGTTCTTGCAGAAGCAGTTGCATTTTGTTGAAATGGAAAAAGATGTATTATATCTTGCAATTTTTAACACCTTTGGCCACTGTTGTTTAATTCTTTATGTTCCTAATAATTTAAATGCCATAATTTGGATCATTTACAATAGTTGAACCCATCTTATTTGGGTTTCTTCCAAGTTCTAACCCAGTTTGATATGTTATCAACCATTGGAGAATGATTGAGTATCAGCTTTATGTGCCATCGTGCATTATTATTGAGTATCAGGAAGATATTTTATGTTTATGTATCATGGATTTATTACCTGCTAAAGAGATGACAATTGTCATTTCAACTTCTGTTTAGTATTCCTATAACCATCTTTAATTCCGAGCCAGCCAGAGATTTGGAAATTTCGTGATGTGTATCATATCAATTCACATGTATGCTATCTCAGAACGGCTGTCCCTGGATGTTTATCTTTTTAGGCTCTACTTTTGGAGCTAATTAATTTGGAGTAGTCTTTCTACATTCTTTCTGTTTATTCTTTTGTGAGCAGCAAAACTATCTTGGTGTTGTACGTTAATTTTCAGTAAGTTTAACTACCTGACATGAAGCTGTGTCTTTCAGGTTGGAGCTTTCTGCTGCGAGTCTAGCTGATTCCATTCACCAGGGAAACCTGCCGGGCAAAGCCACTTTTTTGCTCCATCAGTTATAGAAGTCAGTTTCCTTGTCAACCAAAAATTCCTTCACACATGCCACCAGTATTGGCTTGGCTTTTTATGTTTCTCTCCGTAGGTTGATCATTTCATCCTTGTTTTTGCAATATAGACTGGTAAGACTTTTACAACTAAGGGGATGGAAGTGCTTGAGCGGGTTGGAAAAGAGACTATGGAGCTGCTCATTGCAGAGACTGGTCTTGAATTTGAGAAGAGTCCTAATGAGGTTCACCAAGAAGATGATGAGGAACAGTTGGAGGAAGTTACATTTGATAGGTGCTTTTATATTTATGGAGGTCCTGATCTGCTTGAGGTACTACTTAGTGGGATTCTTACCAGAATACCAGTGGTTTATGCTTGTAGTTGACTCTTCCTAAAGTTCACTAAATATTTGGATGCAGGAACTGGAAGCACTGTCAAGCCATTATGCTTTGTTGTTTAACAGGAGAAAAGCAAAACTTTTAGCAGAACAGAAATCCCTTTATGATGCTAAACTACAACAGATCCAGCAAATCTTCAGTCTGACGGCTGATGTTGAAGGAAATAGTGAAGATTCGAATAAAGGAAAAAATATTGAGACCTTAAGTGGCGACAGTGATGTCGAGATGACAAAGTTATGTGATTCAAGTGTCAGGAGAGCTGCTGATATTGCCTCAGGGTAATGCAATCAGAATAGTTAATTTACTTGATGCTGTCTATCACTCAATTTAAAACTCATGATAGGTAACTAATTCTTTGATATGATTGCATCTCTCAGTGACTTACCTAAAGCGACATATGATTGTGATGGTCCATGCTGAATTTAAGTCTGAACTAGCTATATAAGTATTATGTCACGTTCTGCTAATTTTGTTATCCTATACGGTTAAACTTCCTTGCTCTTAATGTTTTCTTATCATGGATCATTGATTGTGTCAGGTTCACACCAGTTCTTGGAGGACTTTCAGCAAATGATATAATTCAACGGGCTACTGACAGACTTGATACAATGCACTCAGAGTGTATCCATGTGCAAATTTGACGAGGAACTATATCTTTTTGTTGTCCTCATGTTGTACCTCATCACTGATTCATTGCATTTCAAATGCAGAGACTGTCAGAACTTTGCTGCTCTGCGGTATCTCAACTTCTGATTCTTGGAAAATCAGTTATCTCTAGTGCAAACAAAGGAAAGAATGGAGAAACAGAAGGAGAAACCCCAAAGATTGATTGGCCCGAAGAGGCTGTCTCAAAAGCTAAGATCATCAGACACAAGGCCCAATCCATGTCTGGAAACATGGAAACAGTTTCTAACAGCTTTATTACAGGTGTGTTAGATGATTGAGTTAAATGAATTGTTTATTTTACTTATTTGTGCTTTCTCTAGGAGACCAGATGCTATCAAATAGCTTATGTTACTTTACTGATTTCTAAAATATAAGCTGTCTAATTAATGCTTTTGCTAATAGAAATGCACACAATCAGGAACATTTAAAAATGATCTAGCAGATTTGTTGCCTTTTTTAATTTGTCTGAAATTTCTAATCACATTAATGGGCATTATTTTTCTAGGAACCTCAGAAATAGTAGAAGCTTACCTGACAGCTATACTAAGTGTTTCTTCTGATAAGCAAGAACTCCCGCAGAGTACTGTACAGGAAAAGGCCAATGATATAACAAACCATCTCCGAGCTGGTGGAGCCACCGCTGCCGAGAAAATTCAGGATGCCCTCCAGTACCTGGCGTACGTGGTTCTCTTTACCTCCATGCCAACTGTATAATATTCGTGAACGATTGATGAGTTCTCTACTTTGTTTGGTGTACTGATGTCTGTACATGGTTTAGTTAGCCAGATTGAATTAAGCTAAATCCTTGCACTGCCTTCCCAGTTTGTGGATTATATTTTTTGCATGGTTTTGGTGTTATTCAAATCTTGTTGTGGTTTATGATTGTTGTGCTAGGTGTTCGATCTTCTTTGCATCTTGTTATTTGTGCATAACTTATGTAAACTTTTGTAAGATCTCAAATCGATTTTGTTGGAAACAAACTCATGAAAGTCGAACACTATCCAATCTTATCACGTAGATAACTGAAGAGAAATTTAAGCAGCTAAAGCTTTCGTTGACTGAACACGGTGCAGCTCTATCATGAATGGTTCACTTCTTGTTCCCATCGAATGTATCTTTTACTTCAAACCTAGATTTCCAATTTGAAAATCTCCAATTGGCAATCTTGGTGGAGTATACGATCTTTCGCACTAAAATTATATTATGGCACTATATAAAGGATGCCGGTTAACTTTAGCACTTTAATCAGTGTTTCTCACTTTATGAATAAATTACTTGGTATGATGATATATTATGGATTTCAAAACAATAATAATTCAACACTTATCTTAATTCAAATTGATTTAATCTTAAATTACTGACAAATTATTATTAGATCAACTATTATAGAAAGATCTTAGTTGGTAAAAATCTTGACAGTTTATCGTTGGACAAAGACTCCAATCTAATTTTCGTCATTTATTTTTAGAAAAAATAAAAAAATAAATCATTAATTGATACAAAAGATTAACTTGTTATTTGATGATAAAAATAATTTATCATTTTTTTTCTAAATTTATTTTAAAATTATGTATCATCTCATGTAGGGATAATTATAGATTGGCCCTCATAGTTAGTCACGTTTAGTATACCAGGCTTTATATTTTAAAAAAAATATTGGTATCCATATAGTTAGTGAAACACTTATGTTTATTTTTCCTAATGACATTAGTTTTACTAACAAAAATATAAAAAAGGATAAAAAAAGTAAATTTAACATTCTGATGATAGTGAACAATGTCGATGGTGGTGGACAGCGACGCCGCTGGTGCCAATGCTAACACTAATGTAATTACCAAATGACCTTTCCCCCTCGACGTCCTCCTCTGGTCGACGATGACAGCGACGACAACTAGAGAGATGAGTGCGAGGGGGAGAGGAGGCGGTAGCCAGAGCCATCTTCCACCTCCTCTTCCCCTTGTGCTCACCCCTTAGAGATGTGGACGGGGCAGAGACGATCATGAGAACTTTGGCTGTCACCTCGTCTCCCTCTTGTGCTTACCCTTCTCATTGTCATTATCGATCGTGAGGGCTCTGACCGATAACGGCAACAACGACAATGGAAAGGATGAGTGAAAGGGGAAGAGAATGGTAACACGTTGGATAACGACAAGAGAGAGGAGGTGGATGACGATGGTTACATTAGCGCCAAAGACATCGTCATACATCACCACCAAAATATTAAATTTATATTTAATATTTTTTATATTTATATTTTTTTTATTAATAAAATTAATATCGTTAAGATAAATAAATCTAAATATTTTACTTTTATAATTATAAAAAAATTAATATATATATTTTAAAGTATTAAGGCACAGAATCCGAAAGGTGGCTAACTTAATTAGCCCTCCCACGTATAATCTAGCCACCACTGGATAACGGCATCTGTATGTCTAACTCGGTCTTCTGAATGTGGGGCGTGTCGTGATTCCCCTTCCCTTACAAAAGCGGACGATCGACGCGTCTCCGCAATGGAGGATCGCCACCTCCTCCCATCTCCCCCACCGCCACAGCAGACCCGAACGGGACCAGCCCGAGTATCCGCGGCCGCCCGCAGCGGTCCGCGATGGTGCACGAGGACGGGGTCGACGGGCAACCGCAGCCGCAGCCGCAGCAGCAGCAGTACAAGCGCCTCGGCGGCCTAGTCGTTGGCAACTATTGCCACGACGTCCTCTTCCGAGGCGATCTCCCCGTCGGTGAGACCCTCGGTGGCGCTGCTTCCTTCGTCTCTAACGTCCTCGACGCCCTCGCCCCTTCCACCTCCCTATACGTCGCCAAGGTCGGCGCCGACTTCGCGTACGCCGCCCCCCACCCTCCCCGCGTCGTCTCCTCCTCCTCCCACACCACCCTTTTCCACGCCCACTTCCCACCTGTCCCTGCCGCCGGAGGGTACCACGGCGATCGCGTCCTCCGCCGCGTCCGCGCTTGCGACCCGATCTTGCCCGCCGACCTTCCCGACGACATTCGGTTCGACTACGGCCTGGCGGTCGGCGTCGCGGGGGAGATCCTCCCTGAGACCCTCGCCCGCATGATTGACCTCTGCCGCGTCGTCCTTGTGGATGCCCAGGGGATGATCCGGTCCTTCGACCCTGTCGATGGCACGGTCAGGCTCGTGCCGCTCAGGAGCACCGAATTCTTCCACCTTCTCCCGAGAATTGGGTTCCTCAAGGCCTCCGCGGAGGAGGCGCCCTTTGTGGACATCGAAGAGGCGCGAAAGTGGTGCTGCGTCATCGTGACTCACGGGAAGGACGGGTGCCAGGTCTACTGGAAGGACGGGGAGCTGCACGTATCGCCATTCCAAGCAGATCAGATCGATCCCACGGGAGCTGGGGATAGTTTCATGGGTGGGTTTGTCTCTGGGCTGGTTTGGGGGCTGCCGGTACCGGATGCGGTGCTGCTAGGGAACTTCTTTGGTTCCCTCACTGTTACGCAGATCGGAGTTCCCAAATTTGACCAGAGGATGTTGCAGGTTTGGATTTCTGTGCTTTACTGATTCTTAATTGCACATCAGACCTATATATCCTTTTGGTACTTATTTGGTTTTCTTCCTTGTGCATGTTGCTGGTTTTGATCGATTCTTAGGTGCTTATTGTTTTCAATATCATATTTGCAATACGTTCAAATTGAAAGTCCAATTTTACTTCTTATGTTTCAAGGTTATTTAGTAGATGAAGCCATTGGTGGGTAATCAAATAAATTAATAGTCAAAGTCATGAGTTTCTTCAAAGAATAATCATAGAAGTTGCAACAAAGTTCTCATATTGCTTTTTATTCGTTTATAGTTCATTTTCCCATTTTTCCTCAATATCCTTTTTTACTCAATATGTAGATTATAGATGCTGTACATCCATCTTATTCACATTGAAACTGCTTTTTGCAATTGTTGGGCCTTGGCATACATACCTTAGGACTGTGCCACATATTGAAGTGTGTTCAATTCGTTGCATGGATATTCATTTGCACTTGGTTGGCGTTAACTTCGCATCTAGAATGCACCCAATTCATCTCTTGAGCTGAATATTGGATATTTAAAACTTTTTTTTGTCAACATTTTAACTAACAAAATGCTCACCAATGACTCCTCATGCTATCAAATTTTACAAAGTCCAAACTGGGAAGATCTACCTTAGTATAGAGGCCTCAATGGTAGATGTGAATTTGATGAATTTACGGAGGTGGAGAGGCAGCAGAGAAACGGATGTTGTTCCCCCTTTAATGAGAATTTCTGTAGTTTAGGAAGGTCATAATAATAATTTTCAATTTTATTATGTCTCCTAGGAGTCGATCATATGAATTTGTTGGAAAATTTTGCATGGTGATGAAGATAATGAAATAAAAACAATTCAGATGTGTTATACTATTTTCATGTTGTTAAGTTCATGAAGTTGTATTTAGTATTCCATGTAATTTAACATCCACACTTGTAGGCCCTGCCAGACATGTGTTTATGTAACACATCAATTAGTCTCACATCAGAAGTGTGATACGGTTAAGATTGACTTATAGGGATCTGATGAATGTACTAATATTAATTTCAACTTAAGCATTTTGATTAGTGATTCTGGCTCAATGAAATTAAGAGATCAGTTATCATAATCTGGGTTGTCACAATTGGTATTAGAGCCGATTTAGTATTGGGGCATGATAATGGGTTCGAGTAGGAAAGGACTACCTGGGACATGGTCAGACGACATGTCATGATATAGAGCCATCACTGGACTATGCCTCATATGCACCATGCTAGGGTTAATTATACTATGGGAAACCCGTCTGGTCGGGTTATGACATTTTATGTATATTTGAGTTGGACACTTATCAAACTCTTTAATTATACTATAGGAATATCCAATAATATCAAATACATTAAATGAATCTTTTTATGCTTCTTGGTCCTTTTGCTTCTAGGTCATTTTTTTTCATGCAACTTCTAATATACCACACTCAAAATATCAAATATCATATTTTCAAAGTCATTGGCCTCCTATGGGTTTCTGTTGGACATGGGGGTATGCATCTATATTATATTCTGATACCTCATGTCCATTGACATTTGTATCCCCTTTGAAGTACTATTATGTTTTTTTTCCCACTCCCACAATTCTCTTTCTTGGTTTGATTTCTTTGGAAAGGGTTTTCTTTTTTAGATTTGCCCCTTGTGGTCATTGGAAGTTTCAGGAACTGCTTTGATTGCACTTGTCCCTCTGATATGTAGCACATGTAGTGGCAAACATAAATTGTTGAACATAAAAGATGAGATAGTGATAGTGACGAATAGAAAACATTATGGAGGTAAGTAAATTCATCTGTAATTGTAAAATGTAAACAATTCTGTATATTTAGAATAAGATGGAATATGTATCTCCCACATGGATCAAATGGAATTTAAGCCAAAATTTGCAAGTCTATATTTGTCTTTTGCATAAAAATTTAGTAAATGTATCAATGGTGCATTAAACAGTTTCTAAAAATTTTAAGCTGCATAACTTGTACTCAATATGAATAAAGGAATGAACGGGGAATTGCTAAATAGAGCATCGTTGTATTAAGAGGCTCAATACAGTCTTGGCCGACGGGACTCCAATTTCACAGCTTCATTATGGGTTGATATCTTTATGAAAAGTCATTAGAAAGTCATGTAGGATGTGCATGCTCAGAGCACTGTAACACTAATATGTTTATTCCATCTCTGTATCTTTTTTTTTCTGCTTGTTTACTTGAGAATTTTTTTCACTTGTATATTACTTTATGCTTTTGGGTTGGTTTGCTTATGGTTAATCCAATTGTAAATGTTGTGAATTGATGTGAAATTATCTGAATCCTCTTTTTCTTTTCCTCTATTTGTTTACTTGAATATTTTGCTGGAGTTGAGTTGAATGGTTGAGTCTACATTGCTTTTAGCTGATATAATTCAACTCATGCTCTCTCGGGTTCCTCAGCCCAAACAACTATGCCATGTATGCGGCTGTTGTATTAGTGTGTTCTCTCATCCTTTATCCTTAGAGGGCTTGGCCTGCTGTAAGTTGTTATATTTTCAAAAATATTATTAAGGAGACCGGTTAAAGATAGTTTTTGGACTTTTGAGATGTCTCTCAGAAATTGAGGTTGTGACCACTTCATCTGTCAATATTTGACATTTAATATGCCTCTTTCTGTGGAATTTTCCTGATGATGAATGTGACACAATCTGCTATTCATCCTCCAAAAGCATTGAATAAATTTATAGGAATATGTAAAAGAAATTAGGTGTTCTCTTTTAAGTGTTTGTATTAGTGAAACGCCTGAATTTTATAGATGAACAGAAGAAGTGCTACAACAATTTGACATATGCAAACTTTATTTGCAAACTGTCATTTTTCAGTGAGCAGAGTCAAACGAACTTATCTGGACTGCTCTTTTCACAATCTTTTTCAAGCTTGATCTACTATTTTCAATATTCTGTTAAATTAAATATTGGCATGGATCATCGGACATTTGAGTGATTAAAAATGAACAATGTATTCTTCCATTGTTCCCGCAAAGGCTTTTTCTCATTTCTCTTTTTTGTCTCAGCATGTCAAGGAAGAACTGAAGAGAAGAGCAGCTCAGCATTCTGGATCATGTGGGGGAACTATTTCATTGGATTTTCATAAGTCAGATACGCATGAAGACTTCCTAGAACACCTCACTGGAGCCGCCAAGTTAACATGCACCGGTAACCCAACTGATTTGCATACCAATCAGGACAACCAATGTCAGTAAATTTTAGTCTTCAGTTTTTTTTAAGTAGAGTTATATACTAGTGATTAAATAGTGAGCATCCTTGTTGAGTTATCAATAATCGGGAGTAGATCTTCCGGAGAAAAGTAATGAACATACATTTTGAGACCTGGAGATGTCTTGGAATAATCACAAAGTCAAAGATAGCTTTAAGTTATTTCCCTCCTTGCTTTCTCAGTGATTCTCGGTTGACTTTTTTTCTTCTTTTTTTCTTTTCTATCTTATTGAGGACTATGTTCTTTTCTTGTCATATTGTCTATTTCGGTTCAGTGGAAATAAAATTGGCACAGATGCGAGTGGTTTTAGTTTCGATTCTGAACCGGATTAGGTGATTTCGAACCAAGTGATCTCAAATGGAATCATCATTTTTGAATTTTTGATTTTTTTCAATAATATTTAATCTTCACATGGGTCCCATTACGCTCTGTCTGATGAGTCGAGGACAAGCCCCTTGTAGGCCATCAGACTCCCTTAATGTGGGGCCTGAAAGAAATCTTCCGCTTCATCTTCCTTCCATAAATCTCGACCTTTTCAACTTTAAATATCAGACATTCATATGACGAGTACGAGGAAGGCCCATCTTTCCTCTACCATCCCCCACTTTCCTCTAGTTTGATGTCTCTCCTTCATTGAGCATTTCTCTTACTTAGAGAGCATTATAGAATACTATGTTGGCGGAGGCCATGGTGGTCTCGTCTCCCTATTTCCCTACCCGCTGCCCATGCCAGTGGCCATAAAAAGAATGTCTTCCAGCTTGAGATTACCGATTGTAGGGTGTGAAGTGGCTAACTTTTGTTCTTTTGTTTTTGTTTTCAGTCAATTCAGATCTGAACCGCCTCCCTCAGTTTCAGTTTGATTCAGAATTGTTTACTGATTCCGATTCCAAGGGTGTAAGGAATTGAAAATGGATCAGCACCCTCATTTCCGGTTCGATTGAAAACTATTGATCGGTTCCGGTTCGATTCAGAATCATAAAATCGTTGATCGATTCCGATTTGATTCAGACTCATAAAATCATTGATTAATTTTAATTTTAATTGATTCGATTATCATTTGATTTTTTTATTCAAGCTTAACATATATATATATATATATATATATATATATATATAGAGAGAGAGAGAGAGAGAGAGAGAGAGATGGATGAACAAATAAATATTGATTAAAGTGAAATACAGGTGTTATAAGAATGGTGCCACAAGCGTCGATTCGATTCGATTCGATTCACGATTCTTCTCCCTGCAACTACAAACCCATCACTGTTGACCTCGGTTTCGTTGTCAACCCAAATCCAAACGGGAACAGGGGATCGTAGTTCTCGTCACCAACGTTCATGGGGAGCTGGTCCACCGACTTGAACCAAGTGCGAGGCAGCTTCCCGGTGAAGCCGAAGTCCCCGAAGAGCACATCAGCGACCCCTTGGCCTTCGGATCCCGGCAGCCACGCAGCCACAAGCGCGTCCATCGATGGCACGTACGGCTCGATGACCACGGGCCTGCCGGAGATGATAACCACCACGCACTTCACCGCGCCGCACACAGATTGGATCGTGCTCGGCCCAGGCTCGGGAATGGTGAGGTTGAGGCTGTCTCCAGCAGTCTCAGAGTAGGACGGCTCCCCGACGACGACAATGGCATAGGAGAAGTTGTTGCTCTTAACAAACCCGGCGTCCGGGTTCTCAGAGAACACTACTTTGGTTGATGGATCTACCGTGGCTCTTACAGCCTCCAGGATTGTAGTACCTGGAAAAGAAGAAGGATCAAGCTTTCATTTAGCGTTCAGATCAAGGCGTATTGTCATCCTAAGCATGAAATGGGAGGAGCAACAAGAGTCGAGACATACCAACGGTGATGTTTCCACTACTTCCATGCCACTCTATGGTCCAACCGCCGCACTGGTAGCCAAGGTTGTCTGCATGGCTTCCGGCAACAAGAATCTTCCCGGCCTTCTTTGGCAGTGGCAGCAACGGCTTCTTACTAGACTTTCCATTCTTCAACAGCACAAGTGATTTCCTTACAGCTTCCCTTGACAACTCCCTGTGCTCCTGGATGGTTACGATAAAGGATTTGTCAGGAGATGGAAATCCAAACTGGAGTGAGTTGACTGCAAGCAAGGAGACCGAGAACAGACAAGCAATTTACCTTCTTTCCAAGCTGGTCAACCAAGCTGTAGTCAGGTAGAGGGTTCTCGAAAAGACCCATGGCAAACTTCACCCGCAAGATCCTTCTTACAGCATCATTAATTCGGCTCTTGGGGATAACTTTGGCATTAACCAGAGTTGTCAGATTATTAATGAACCCAAGATAGTCATCTGGGACCATGACCTGCAAAAAAGCACAGTAGCATCAAGGATATGTGAGGCTGGCTAGAACACCATGTTAAAGAGCCTAAAGCCACCGGGCAGGCATTATTAGAACAATAGAGAAACTTCCTATGTCCAGTGGCAATCTCTGCTATGCATTCTCATGCATTGGATCGAACCTAATTCGAAAATGCTGCGACATCGTGCAGTCTTTGACAAACTATAATTTATAGTATAATTTGGATCAGTGACGCTCATTCTTCGACATAAATTTCTCACCATATCGAGACCAGCGTTGATCGACTTCTCAACAGAGTAAGTGTAATTTGCTTTTGTTGGGGTGGTGAGTTTATCGATGCCCGTCCAGTCTGAGATCACGAATCCCTGACAACAGTTTGAAGCATATTGAGTCGTGATACATTCTCAAGCAGTGAATGAAAAGGTGTTTATGGACTCTTTCGTGATCTACCTTGAAACCAAGCTTCTTCTTGAGAAAGTCTGTGACTAGAAAACGGTGGGCATGCATTTTAACTCCTTTCCAGCTTGAAAAAGAAAGCATGACTGTGGAGACACCCATCTTGATGGAGTCATAATAAGCAGGCATATGGATTCTAAGGAGTCCACTGAAGTCGACAAGAGTGTCATTCTCGTTGATCCCTTTGTGTGTTCCACCATCGCCAACAAAGTGTTTGGCGCAAGCTGCTACATTGTTCCTGAGAAGCACATGAGGTTACTTGTGGTTTGATAAATTACTAGTATCATAATTTAGCAGTATGAATGTTAGAAGGAAATAAAGAACTATCAATACTCACAAACAATTAAATTGAAATTTTACTAATTTCATGGCTGCATTTAGAAAATTGAGACTCTGTGATATGAAAAGGATTATCTATCATAATGCCTTGAGCATTATCTATCTATCTATCTATCAGAAGAATTCCCTATTAGGAACTGATAACAAGACTTGTGATGCATTGCGATGAACTACAGAGTCTAAGCTACATTTGCTTTTCAAGCAAAGTTGTTTCTTTTGGATTTATCAACAACTTCAGTGTTATTAGAATTCTGAATCCTTACTTTCCAGCAACATAAGGGAATTTTTTTGTGTAGTTGGCAGGGACATCTCCCTGTAAACCAAGAATAATTTGGGTCATTGCCTGCACAACCCTGTGATCCTCGCTGTAACTCTCAAAGCATCTGCCCCACCTCGGATCTCGACAAACCTGAATCAGGAAGGAGGAATATCAAATCAACAGAAAATAACACTTCTGAAAATCCAACTCAAAATTTGAATTTCAGAACACCAAAAATGCAAAAAAAAAAAAAAAAAAAAAGACTTGCTTACCGCGATACATGGCGCAAAAGCGTAAGGAATGCCTGTTGCTCTGATTTCAAGAGCAGTTGCCACACCAATCTTCTTTACAAGATCAGGATCCCTGCACATAACAATTAAGGTCCAAGAATCAGAGATCAGGATGACTAGATTGTGTTGGATTTCACTCGAAAGAGATTGATAATTAGACAATGTCAAACAATTCTTAAGTACAATCATTAGGCAGTAAGCCAAGATAGGGTGAGAAGAGAACAATAGTGATTTCTTCATTGCTTATGAGTATGCCAACAGTATCAACAACAAAAAAAAAGATATAATGAGTTGAATAGAGCAGAGCAGTAAATCTAAAATCCTTCTCAACCATATGAAAAACAAAACCAGTAGTACTTCCCAAGCATTTCACCAATAGATTATAAAGTTCATACTTGGATGGCCAACCTGTGTTCCAACTAACAAATGATGATCTCAAATCAATTTTCATCAACAGGTGTGGTTTGGCAAACCAAGAGCTAATTTTAGCAATATTTCGTAGAAATTTAAAATCACAATATGCAACAAATCGAAGTAAATATGTAACTTGCCTTGTGGCTCCAAGACCAATGTTGTGAGGAAATATGGTTGCATTATAGACGTTATTGTTGCCATGAACAGCATCGATCCCATAAATCATGGGAATCCCCAATCGTGTCGACAGGCAGACCTTCTGGAATTTATATATCATATCAACCCAGTCCTTAGCAGATGCCCGAGGAGAAGGAACACTTCCCCCGCCACTAAGAATGCTACCTGTAAGACGTGTATGATTCAGTACGTGTGCTGCCAGCTTCTCTTCCCTTTCAGTAGAGTAGTACAAAGACCAGATGAATGCATTTGTTGATACTCACCAATGAAGTAGTCCTTCAAGACTTGGGGTGTGGAAACTTCTCGCTCGATTTGTGTCATTTGACCAATTTTTTCAGCAAGAGTCATGCGCTTCAACAAATCTTTGACTCGAACATTCACTGGCTGGTTGGGATCTTTGTATTTCATGTACTCTGCTTGTATGGTTGCCGTCCAGCACAACAGGAACAGAATTCCAAGCATTGGTGTCTGCCGAGTTGCCATCTTTAGATGCAGCAGTAACCTTCTCGGATCCTATCGACGGACCTGTTACTGTAAGAACATGAAATTATCTTAAAAGACAAAGCAAAGCAAACAAGAAGATGCATGGGGTTGAGCCCCTTGATCATCAGAAAGCTCTCACTCTGCAAATCAGAAACCGAGAATCGCAAAAGACCAACCACATATGGACGTATATATGTATATGATGATATCAATCCAGTCAAGAAATTAGCTAGAAAATGTTGTGGGTCGAAAAGAACAAAGCTAACAAGCATATCAAGCAGGTCAAAATGACGAAAGCATATTAAGCTAACAAAATGGAGAAAAGAGCGGGTACCGAGCACTCGCAAGTTACCAAGAAAGAAACACTTCTATATAATTAAATTTTAAATCTATTTTATATGAATTAAACAATCCAATAAATTCA